ATGAACTAGGTATGGGCAAGAGAAGTATAAATTTAAGTTTAATTTCTTATGTTCATATTTATCAACTTGATTTGTAAAATATTAGGTAAAAATAAAATAACAATTAATACACATTTTGATTTAATATATGTCACAACATATTTTTTAAAAAATTATTATTTTAAAATTGAACTTAGAAGCATGAAAAGTTTTATTTTTAAAATTTCATGGTTAAATTGATGAATATTGACAGATGTATTAAATTAGTGTTGAAGAATTTTTAATTTAATTTTAGAATTTAGATTCGAACCATAAAAAATTGTTTAAAAGACTCGGTAGAACCCGTTAAACTCGCCAAAATGGCCAAACCCGTTAAACCCGTCTAAATCAGTTGGGCTATTTTGAAAATTCTTGTTTACTTTTTTTTAATGTTTTTTACATTTTACCCATTTCATTAATTTATTCCTCTTTTTTATCGTTATTTCCTTATTAACCTTTTTTTAATTCAAAAATTAACGAAAATTAAAAAATTCATAACGCTAACTCAATTTTCTTCCATTCCTATCGCAGATCAGCTCCTCCTCCGGCCTCTGCAAGTCCGTTGCTGTCTTTTACAGTCTGCAACCACCACTCACCACCACACCACAGTAGCCAACAGTCAACAACCACCATGATTATCCACCCTCCGGTCATCTTCGTCAACTAATCTACATCGAAATCCATCACAATCCATAGCTTACCTTTCCTCGGCCACAGAACAGGACACAGCACAGCAGTATAAAACAGTGAAAAGGTGAACATCTCCATTCTCATCACCTTCTTTATTCGCCGATTCTCCCCCTCTAGAGTTTCCAACGAGGTGATAAATTTCTTAACTTTGATTCCTTTCCCTTCCCTTCTCCTTTTCCTTCTCCAAAGCTCTGTCCTTCTCGTGTTTCTTTTCCCTCTTTTTCCCCTTTCCCATTACCCAATTTGCTGTTTTAGTCTCTTCCTCTGCAGAATTCAGTAATTTTGCTGCGTTTCTATTTTAATTTCGACTACCCCATGATTTTTT